CAAAATTACACTTGGTTCTAACAATTACCAAGACAAATAGATCCTCATTCTTTTATCAGTTCCTTTTGAATTGCTGTTACATTTCCACACACAACTTTGACTTCAGTCAAGAGATTAGTCGCCAACCCATTTATTCTTCTCTCATTTTATGTTTTTATACATTTTCCTCTCACTCTGTCTTCTCTTCCATTTTCACACATCAAAAGAGCTTGATGCCTTGACAGGACGGGCCCTAGAAACTTGCTGCCTCCCTCCAGACTTTCCAGTCTCTGCTCCCTCATTGAACTGTTATCTGCTCCATTTCTGGGATTTTCCATGGCAACCAGGAGCCAGTGAGCGTGTGAGTGAAAAGAGTAAGGTCTCCAGTGGAAGAAGTATCTTGTCTCAGACAGCTGTCTGCTAAAAAGACAAAGAAAAGAGGGGGGGAAAAAAACAACAAAGAGAAAAAGGAAAGTTTGGGAAAGTTGTTTTCCTCCCGTTAGCATGAACAACAACCTAAGTGGATGTATTTTACCACACAGTGAGCTACAGTTCAATTAAACCCTTTGACCAATCTCAATCCTTGACCTCGTGTGTCTCTGTCATTCTTTTTTATTAAAAAACAAACAAACTGTATTACTTACTTACTTTTAGTGCTCTGGTGACAAACACATTACAATAGTGCTCTCCTCTTGATCGGTTCCTAAGCAACCTGTTCACTTGATGCAGGCTGCAACTGCTGACTGACAGTCCTTAAAGTTTCATCCATGGGACCCCCTCAGTGGAAGTAACCCACATTTCTCTCTATTTTAAGATTAATGTCAGATGTAAGGTCTTACCAAAACATATGGGCCTCTCCACTCAACATGTATCAAATGCAGACTGATTTCCCTGGAAAGTCAACATGAACACTTGATTTCTCACGCTAGAGCCTCTCTTTACAATCCTTAGCCTCTCCTCTCCAGGTTCTTCACTTGGATGTGGAGCGACAAGACAACTTTAAAGTCAGGTTATGTCTGTGTCTTCCATAGGATTACACTAGATTCCCAGTGGTTTTAAACAGTCACACTCTGCCACTCAAAGCCAGACATTTTCGTTTGGAGCGTTTATTAAAGGAGCTTGGGAGTCTGTGGTGACAAGTGAAGCGTTTTGTGGAAACGGAATGAGGGATGGAGTAGAACAGAACTCTGCAACAAGGGTTTTCCTTTTTAAAAGTTTCGGTCTCAAGACTTTCACAGCCTTTGTCACTCTGTTTAGAAATACAGTCACAAACATAGCCCAGGGACATAGTGACCCTGAGGACTTGGAAGCAACAAAGAGTCAGAGGCAATCTGTGAGTGGCGATAGCCACAATTCTGTATGACGGTTTTCCTATTAAGTTTACTGTTTGTGGGGTGAAGTGAGCCTTCACCAACCTTAGTGCATATAAAACCTGATGAGAGTGCTCTTTGTTTTCTTTTCCTAATAAAAAGGGAATAGAACATGGATCAGAGTGAAAACATAATCTGGGAGAAAGAGAAGCAATCTGATTTGGTATGTAAAATGTCCTGTCATGGTAAAAAGAAAAGAGACTCTCTGTCAATTCTAAGGTTTCACATTTAAGGACATAATAGAATAACTAGTCATTACTAAGTGCATCCCACGATTCAGTAGTTTGTAGAGCCACCTTTCGCAGAAGTAGCTTTAAGTACTTGTTTTGTGTTTGACTTAATCAGTCTCTCACATTATTTTGGCCCACTCTTCTTCACGTCATAGCAGTGAGGCATGCACACATTCATTTATGCACAGTTCTCTTGAGGTGTCATAACAGCATTTCAATCATGTGGAGGTCTGGACTTTGGCTCAGTCTTTGTAGCACCTTGATTCTTTTCTTTTTCAGCCATTCTGCTGTAGACTTGCTGCTGTGCTTGTGATCTTTGTCCTGTTTCATCACCTGGGTTTTTGCCAAGTTTAAGATGTCAGACACATGGCCTCATATATATCTGTGAAATACTTATACAAAGGAGTTCATGGTCGACTCAGTGAGTCCAAGGTGTCCAGATCCAATGGCTGCAGAACAAACCCAAATCATTACCCCTTCAACATGTGCTTGAGAGATTTGGTATGAAGTGTTTGTGCTGATCTTCTTTCTTTGTTTTTTTCCAAACCATGGCGCTGTACATTATGGCAAGACATTTCCACTTTCGCCTTATCTTGGGAGTTCGCCTTGTAATCGGAAGGTTGCCGGTTTGAGCCCCGGCATTTACAGTCTTGATCGTTGTGTCCTTGGGCAAGACACTTCACCCGTTGCCTACCGGTGGTGGTCAGAGGGCCCGGTGGCGCCAGTGTCCGGCAGCCTCGCCTCTGTCAGTGCACCCCAGGGTGGCTGTGGCTACAATGTAGCTTGCCATCACCAGTGTGTGAATGGGTGGATGACTGGTTGTGTGAAGCACTTTGGGGTCCTTAGGGACTAGTAAAGCGCTATACAAATACAGGCCATTTACCATTTAATTTCTTCCAGAACTCTTGCAACTTTGCAAATCTATGTCAGGAACCATTTTATACGAGCTATATTTGTTCAGACTTCTTTTCTAAATGCATTGTCATGAACTTCAACATTTAGCATGTTAATCCAGGGCTTGTAGAGTCTGACTTGGAGCTCTGAGGGTTATTTTATTGCAGTTTCTCTGAACATTGGACAGTGTTATTTTGACTGGAAGACTGGCACTGTTTTCCGCTTGTGAATAATCTTTCCCATTGTAGAATAATGGCCAACAAATGATTTGGAAATGGCCTGATTACCCCTCCCAGCTAAGATAAGATAAGATAAGATGGCCTTTATTAGTCCCAGAGATGGGTAACTCACAATGTTACAGCAGCAAAGGAGACAGGGCAGGAATAAATATATAGATGCCGCATACCCGAGAGTAATAATATTATAAATGTATGTACATATACATATATATGCTAAATATGTGTATATATGATACAACAATGCACTATACTAGTAGCAGCAGAATGAAATATTTAACAGTGGAGCGGTTGGCTGTTAATAGTAATAGATTGATAAGTTCTTGTGAAAGATTATTGCTGATATTGTTCCTTTATGGTGCCATGTTAACACACTTGAAAATATTAATTTCAGCTGATTTAAGGACTTGAGAGTTATATAGCAGTTTTCAAAATAGCAACCCTCCCAATGTAGCCGTTCCTTAAAATGTCATTAAAGATTTTGTGCACAATAAAAATACAGCATTCAGTATGAAAGTGCAGTAAAAGAAGGTACAATAAAAGCACCACAAGTGTAAAAAACACACTATGTAAAATGCATAAACCTGTAGTCTGCATTTTTATTGCTACCGTTTGGAATCTCAGAATGACAGTTTAACAATTTGTGCTTCTGACTTCCACTAATAAGCAACACCCCTTCTTTTCTCCCTTTACCAGTCGTTACTTCTATGTCTAGTCAATGTTTGTAACAACAAGCTTGCAGTGAAATCCCATGTGAAAAGCAGCATTTACCATCCTGCAAGAATAGAACAAAAACTGGAAGAAGCATAGCAACATCTTTTACCGCCGTCCATGGTTTCCTCAATGTAATCTACCCTGCGATGCTTGTGAAAACAGAGAAACGCTCTCTTGCAAACTGCCTCCTCTGTCAGTTTTACTGTGTTTATCTACTCCTTCTGTCACTCTCATCTGCAAAATAGTTGGTGAGACTATGGATCCAGTTCATGACAATCCATCATTTAAGACAAGTATACACAGTAATCTATTTTAAACAGCAGGGTATGACACTGATGATGCATGGCAGAAGAGGCTGTACAGAATACACACTTATGCATATTGATAATCAATTTTCTTCATTTTAACCACTGCAGGAAAAAATAAAAGTTTCCGGGTGCCACTCTGTGCCGTGTTCTTTGAACTTAGTATTTGCACACTGATTTTCTGTATTGCCATTACTCACTATTTAGAGTACTGGGATTGACCAAAATAAATGAAGCAAATATGCCCAAAGTCTTATTGTGTATTGATCTGTCAAAGCTAGACAGGTGTTTTAGTTACACAGACAAACAGAGCTGCTGCAGAAGAAAAAATAATCTAATTGCACCACAGCAACTTTAATGTGCGGAGCTACACAGCTACAGTATATAACACAGACGAAAGCAGTGTATTCATGTGTTCGTGGCAGAATATAGGAAGATAAAAAAAAAAGAGGTGTGATGACAGAGTGACAGTATTTTCTTCCGTGTAGCCTTCCCTTAGCATTTTTATTTTTGTTGAGTTGTTAAAGCAAGTGGAAAATATTACCATGGCAACATGGAAACTGTCCAATGACACGGCACAGTCCTTGATGTGGCCCATGGCATTTCAAAATTTTAAACATCTGTGTCCTGCAACACTTTATCTGGTGAAAATGGAGCATTTGGTTAGCAACTTTCTTTTAAAAAATTAGTCTAAATAATTAACGAGTCATCAACAGGTAGCTTTTACTTCCTGTGTCTTTCTCCATACTCAAATTTGCCTTTTTCCCCAGCTGGTTCCCACCAGTATCCCATCATCACACTCCCATTCTTATGTTCTCAGTGACTGTAATGAATTCCAGACCATTCTTTTGAGATATGTGTAGGCTTTCTTCTTGCTTCCAGCTCCCATTGCTACAATTTCAATCTTCCTGCCAGTTTGATGGGGCTGCCAGGTGCTTCTAGCTAAACCATATGTCCTTTGACACTCTGTCTTGGGGATGGGGGAAACGTGGAGAAAGGGGGGTTAAAGAGGAGACTATCTGGAGCTACCTCTGAGAAAAACTCTCCCTAAAACTCAGTTGGCTGACATGTGGCAAAAACACAGGCCACCAAAACGAAACTCCGGTTCTAATTCCTCTTTGCGCTAGGCCTGAGAGAGCTATAGATAGAGGGATGGCAGGGAGCTCTTCACTGTTTCCCCGTGGGGTCGGAAAAACAGATCCTGTTTCAGTGAGCCAGTTGGCTTGGTGTGGCGCAGTGACCGCATCGCCATCTTCGGCTCAGTCTGTCAGTCAGTCACAGTCTGCTGGTCTGCAGCTCCAGTGGTCAGGCAGGAGTTCATTCTTTTCTGGTGTCTTTGTCTGAATGTTTTTCTGACGGCCAGACAATCCTTTCAACTCTGAAACCTCAGTCTCTGCCTCGTCTCTGTCTCCGATCCAGGGCTGTGATTCTGCGCTGAACTGGTCACACCATCGTTCAAGCGGCTCCTCCTGCCTACAGGTAAGGCCTGTAAGCCTAGTGATAGTTCTGCTTGCACAAAGGCATAGTTACATGTATACACACACACACACACAGCAGATTTTTAAAATCACTTACAATGTCTCTGCAACAGAGACATAGCATAAACAACAGCTAAATGCCCCCAGAGAAGAAGCTGCTTTTGGCTGCTCCCTTATCTGTATTCTCTCCAGTGCAAAAACCAGTACGACACAACATACATTTTTATACTGAAACTCCAATGTGAGATTCTGTGTGTATGTGCTGAGCCTTTTGTCATTTTGCCGCACTAGACGGACGTTTTCCCAGAAGTCCATGCAACCCAGCAGTGACCTGAAGTTACCAAGTCTCTGGGATGTATTGTGGCAGACTTTAAATGTGAGGAAGAGAAACTCTCATCACCCATCACCTCTGTGAGATGAAAGGCCCCAAAAGCAGCCAGCCACCCTGCCGGACACAGCTCAGCTGTTATAAGAAGTGTCTGACAGAAGTGGCAGGTACTTGACCTTCTCTCTAGCTTTTTTTCTCTCTCTCACTCTTTCTCTCTTCTTCTCTTTTCTCACACTCTCTTTCTCTGTGTCACTGCTTTGCCACAGGCTGACCACTCACGCCTCGCTGCCTCGTCGGTGTTGTCAGAGAGCTAACAATCCCAGCCTGCTGTGCTACACCTGCATTTATTTGTTTATTCCCACTGACTTCTAATAAGTACTCCTCATGAGTCCTTGTGGTGGCGCTGATCTTGATGCTGTGCAGTCCTACTTTCTCCACCTTATTACTACAGGGGTCTCATGGCTCAGGGAAATTTATTGGTTAGTTAATGTCAATAGTTAGTCCGAGAAATTAGAGGATGGACGCGTTTCTGCTCAATTCACAAGTAAAAGAAAGCACTGGGGATTCGAGTTGTATAAGCATGGTTTGTGTTACTCAAGTGGACTTAGATGAAGAGTACAATAGCATCCACAGACTAAATCAAGGGAGAATTACAGTGGCAAACATTGCGGGTTACCTACTGTATTCCGAGCCTAGATCTGCATGTCTGGGTGGGGAGGGCAGTTGAATTTTTAACAACCTTGATGCACATTTCCATTTCTCCTGCAGACAGTGTCCCATGTATTCATCTCTCCTAACAATGGCGAAATGTCAGCATACTTTCAGGCTGGTCTAAATTAAACATTCATCCCCTTTGAGTATACAGCTATAGAGCTGTTCTTGCCATCCCCTCCCACACTCTTTCTTTCTATTTTCATATATAAGGGTTCGTCCAAATGTGGAACGAGAACAAGACACTTTCTCTCATTTTAGGCCAGATGGTCAGTATGTAGCGTTTAAATTATTTTAAGTTTGCTAATATGCTAAATAACACTTCTCTGGCTGACTTTCATGGTCACATCCCAAAAGTCCCAAGCCTTTATATGTGCAATGGCCAAGAAAGTTGAAGACAAGACTTAAGATGGGGAGTGGGATATTTTATTAATGGGAACTATTAATATTCCATCGCAGGGGGACGATGGCGTGTTTCTTTTTGCAGAAGCATAATGAATAACTGAGCGCCTCCATGGTACCCGATTCGTAGGCATGAATATTCAGGCTCTGGCGATGTATCATGGGAGTGTTGGGAGCCTCTTCTCTACCCTATAGTGGATCACACCCAAGCTCTTTGTCTCACCTCTCTACTCCTACTTTTATTTCTTTCCATGCACATTCAGCCAATGTCACTAAGGCCAGTAGCATCTTGAGACCGGCGACTATAGATCTAATGCTTGGCTCTCAATAACAACCGTCCACAGAGGCTGGATTGATTGATTACACTACTGTGGCTTTGTGTGGGTTTTTAATTGATTGATTTATAGTGGGCCTATGATTGATTATGAGTAGTCAGCAGTGGGTTGGAGTTGGGCTGTCAGGAGGACACAGGGTGAGAGGTGAGCTCTTGTGGCCCCTGTGATATGTTTGTTCTTTTATCCAAGAATCCCACTTTTATGTGTAACACTCGGTAGAGCCACATTTTGTCCTTACCTCGGTCACCTCTCTGGAGCTCTTTTCTCCCTAATTTCAGTGAATGCGCGCCTGTGTTCACATGTGGTGTTGCCTGGAGCTCTGTATGTCCTGTTCTTGCCAACAAAATGTTCAGTAATGTCAAGTTTGTGGTATTCAGCAGGTACAACAAAGACCTCCTTACAAACCTCAAAGAACTAACTCTCACAGTGCCTGTGTAGGAAAATAAAAAGAGATCAAGCATAAAAAGGAGAAGGGAAAGGGAAAGATAGAGAATCACATGACAGTGCAGAGGGAAAAAAAGAAAGTATTACCCCGCTCTTAACATCCCATTCAGATATAACGCTGAGGAAAGAAAAACTATGAAGGACCAGAAGAAAGAATCAATTTGGTAACATAGATCAGGAAGGGGAGACAGTTAAATGCAATGGCAAACAAACATTTCGACAGTAGACATGCCATTCTCAAATGATACACTGTCCCAGTGGGCCAATAAATAACAAAAATCTATGCTTATTTCGACTCGTAAAATCAGGCCGGCCGAGATTAGGGGCGGTTGGTGTGCTACCATCAAGACAAAAAGCCTGAATGTATCAGTCATTTCTTCAAGTTTTATTAAAGTCTGATCAGTGTTGTCTCAGGATGTGTAACAGATAAACAGATGAATGAATTAACAATAAGACAAACCGAGAACAAATGGATGAACAAACAAAGCGCAAACAAATACACCAAGAACAACAAAGAAGCAAAGAAGCAATTCAGTGAAAATGAATAAATGGACTAAAGACTCTTGCATGGAAATGGGAAATGCACATGGGTATCAGTCATTGTCTTTTTGTCTTTAAACTCCCAATGCAGAATAAAAAGTATGGGACAAGCATCTTGGCAGCTAAAGGCTTTGTTTAATCACACATTAAATTAGCAATGAAACAGGGACATGCATTTATTGTGTCATTGCAATTTTAGAAGGGTACAACAACAACTCTGATTACATTGTGACTAGTTAGTGCATGTTAGTTTAATCATTTCCTCAGTGTCTGTTTATATTTTAGTATTCTAGAGTGGGGGGGAAATCAATTTTGATATACATTACTGTACAAAATTACTGTCGAAAAGATTGTAATTAACTGTGGTGAGCTTGCTATTAATATTACTGGAGAATGGCTTTGTGTGTTCTTATTGCACTTGTGGCTGAGACTGCTGTGATTTGAAACTGAGCTAATATCTTTAAGTCAAGCGATCTAACAGCACGAAGATGCTACACAGCTATTAGAGGCAGATATTAAAGGGAATCTGTACTCAGCATCCGCCTGGACAGTGTAAGATTCTTCACCAAGAAAGAACATTATTCCTGATCCTAGAAACCTATGCCTTTGCAATGCCTCAGAGAAGCTTGCTGATCATTGCTCACACACATTCAGATATGCAATATCTTTTCTTTTAGATGGAGGTAATATGCAGTAATCTAACACTGCCACTGCTAATCCTTTTTTTTTTTTCCAAACAAAGGGTTACAGCACAGAAAAGCAACAAGAAGAACTCATCCTCTTGTTATCCTGATGCAATTAGAGCCCATGAGTGGCCCTCAAATGCCAGTTAAAGTCTGGAGGATGTCATCTGAACTTTTTTATGGCTCCCTGTGTCAGGTCAGTGATTATGGCTATCCTGACTTCTATTTGAAGACTGAATACAGTCTGCTTTCAAGAGGAAGAAGGAGAGGTATTACCCATAGAGCTGGAAGTTGTGCGCACTGCAATGCCTTGGCACTCTTCTTTGGTGTGGAAGTAAACTGCAGATGCTTAATTTGGAACATACACCCAAAACTTCTTAAAGTCTTTTTAAAACACTGGCTTCAGGCTCAAAAAGTTGTTTAAGGACCTGGTGGAGGGAGAAGAGCAAAGGACTTCCTCCACCTTTAGCTTTAGCCCTGAAGTTAGGACAGGCAGACAATCCTGCAGCTTTACCAAGAAAAAAACATAATTGAAAGATGCTTCCCAGATGGCAATACTGGTTGCTGGGACTGTCTAGGAGGTAGGAATACATGTGGCTGCATCACTGTAAAGCGTGCCCTTTAAAACACATAGTATTAATTAACACAAATACCAGACAGGTAGTCAAATGGTCCTTTCACCTATTTCATTCTTTTGCACTTTGAAATGTCAGCATATAATATTTTCACTTGATCTTGTTTGCACTTTTTCCACATTAAATTAAAGATCTAAAAGTAAACATTTAATGCCTTAACTTCACTGATCTTATTCTTTTTGAGACACTTACCATGTTAACCCCGTTTTGCCACGTAATTTTTTTTCAAATTCTGTTTATTAAAACAAATTTTAAAAATCCATATCAATTTGCATAGATATGTTCAGTCTATTTATATATATGCAAATAAAAGCATATAAGGTGGTTAAGGCTAAAAGGCTGAAAACATACGCAGTATGAGTAAATCCATAGGTATCTCTGTTAACCTATGCGTATCACTAACTGATGCATCACAATAGCTATTATAATGTACTTAAAACTGATATTTGTGAATATGCTGTTAACTGGAGCCACCAGAGGATAAAGACTGATTTTGGAGAAGCTTACTTATGATGTGCTTTTGACTGAAAATTGTCTGGCAGAGGTCAAACAAGTTTACAGCCACTCCTTCTCACATTTCCTGATGCTGTCTCCTTCCTGGACAGCCCAGAAAGAGAGATGTGTGACTGAGTCACATATCACAGCCATCTGTCAGCCAAACATTGCCAGATGTGGCTGATGATATTAGAAGTGGCAATACACAATATATCAAAATTCCTATGCTCAACAGCAGGGCAGGTCAAAGATCACATAAAATAAGGTGCCCTTTCATTAAAACCACGTTTTTGGGTCTTTTTATAACAGACAGGAATAAGTAAATATGCATTCATTCTATGACAGTAACTTGTACTTTCTAAATATGGGTTCCTGCTGGCCAGGCAGATGACATGACTTAGTGCAGAACAGCGTGGCATCGTGCCTTGAAGAGTAAACCTGAAGATGGAGGGCACATCGGTATGGTTTCCACTGACTGGATGCTATTAAAATCCCTGCAAATGTGGCTTTAAATATGAGAGTTCGATAGTTTTTTTTTTTTGGATAAAGGCCCTTTATTTCTTGCCAAAGCACAACAATAAGTGCAATGCAGTAGGTCTGCCATCGACTGTCTATTCACCCCAAGAACACTTGCTGTCTTAGCTCACAGGTACAACAGGACAAAGTACAAAAGGGCTTACTGAAGTGGAAGATACACTATAAGAAAACTTTATTCGGAGCACCTGCTTCAGCCAGTTATTTTGCTGCAGTGGATAGAAACATACAGATCAGGAACTTTAGTCAAACTTAACATCTAATATCCGATTTAGGAAAAATATCACCTGAGTGATCCAATGAGCAAAAAGTTAAAAAAAAAGAATCAATAGGAAATAAAAGAACAACTAAACAAAACAGACAGACAGGCTTTAACAACAGAGAACCACATTTTATCCCACTCCTGTCACAAATTACCAAAACTAAGTCAAACATTTGTTCTTATTCATCAAAATTAGTTAAAAAATGTAAAACCTGAATTTTTTTTTTTTTTACTTCAATTGCAGCGTCAGAGTTTTAGAAGTTGATGTCAGCAGCACATATGCATAGATCCAACCTGTGCACTTCTTGCCCCTTATTACCACTTCTCTGTTAATTTGACGTCATAGCCTATTTGATTGGTTATAGTAATTTTATTGGTAAAGCACTTTTAAAATACAGGAAGTGCTTCACAGTTTGGATAAAAACACATTAAAAGTAAGTGTAGAGGCTTGTGTAAATACATCAATGCATCATATTAAAAGCTGTCTAAAAAGGAGTTCATGAACATGAGAGTGACACTGAGTGATGTTTCCCAGTGACCAGAACTGATTAGGCTGATGGAATCAGTGGTGGAAATTTATTGTTTAATAGAGGAAATTTATTGTGTAGCAAATTTAAAAGAAGAATTGTGTGTGTTTTAAGAGCAAATCATATTAAACGTAAAGCAGGGTGTTCCTAAAACATTGGTTGATTAATAACAGATTAGAGATGCAATAATTAATAATGTTGTTCATGTAGGTTGGCATTTCTCATACTAAAAGCCTGATTGAACAAAATAAAATAATAAGTTCTCATGACTAGCTGTGTGTGCTTGACTTTATCTAGGTGATAGAAGTTACGGCCTGGCTGATGACAGCCCTGACCAACACGTGGTCCTTCTTGTGTGCAATTTGCACTCTGTCACCAAGTGCACCTTAGGTTTTCTGAACAGCTGGTGAACTTTGGTAGACACTGCAGACTGCCAAAAGGGTTCTGTCATTTATTAAAATTCACATCAACACCGTCAGTATAGAGCCTTGGGTATGTTATCTGATGGATATGTTGCTTAAATTAAAGCAGTATCTATGATCATAGTCTCTTATTCACTTCCTTGGTCAGTGCTTTGACTTCAAATTGTAGTTAAAAAAAATTGTGAACCTATTTCATCTAACTTTGACTTTAGGTTCTTTCTTCATTTTTAACAACTTGTGCCTTTTCTCTGTTGGCAGTTACAGTAGAAGTAGATATATATTATAATTAAGTATTTGTTGAAGTATACTGTGTAAAAAAGCACAAACAAAACAAACAAAAAACAACTTCCTGTATTCAAAAGTGTTAAGGTTGCAGAATTGGGATCCAAATTCAGTGCTTCCAAAAGCAGACAGACGTCATAAAAAAAGCAATTGTTGATTTAGTTGATGCAAGGCCAAAATACAAGCTAAACAATATCAAAGCTGAAGCACATATGAAGATGACACACTCTGGCAAATAATATTAAGAGAAACAAGCAATCGGGGAATGAAAAAGAGGAAGCTAAATGTTCAGAGGACACAACAGAAAACCTAACCTTCAAAGTAAAAAAAGAAAAGTAATTCAAGAGAATGACGCAGACCTCAAAAAAGACTGAACAAGTCTGGGACAATAAGAATATGACAAAAACTCCTTTTAACTAATAAAAATATACCTGAACCAAAATGGAGACTCATTACTTGAATACAGAAACACAGGAAACGAAGGCTTTATGTTTCAGGAATTAAGACCTTGAAATGTATCCACTGAAAAAGAAATGAAACAATGAATCATAAACCCAACCTAGCGATAACAGAAGAAAAGAAAAAAAGACTAAGAGCATAAGGATAACAGTGAAAACAAACTCAAAACCCTTAATAACCAAAACCCCAACACTCCAGATCCCACAGACCATGACACAAAAGTAAGCAAGAGCGCATAGAGTATCAAGTTAGTTCCCAACACTGCTCATAGGTACTTTTGGGCCGAACTTGTCTTAAAAATTTAAGTCAAGTGTGATTGAAGCTTGTGGTGTTTTTAGGTGTTGTTTTGACCTGTAGAGCAGGAGGTGCATCTGGCTTTGGCTTTGGACAGTCTGTTGGTTCCCTGTGGGGCCCAGCAGCAGAAGCAGTAACGGAGTGAATGTTACTAACCCTTTCTACTTTCATTAGAGACAGAAACTAGAGGATTACTGCCAGGGGCAAGGCTAATGACTGTCATGCCCGCAGAAAGCCGATTTACTGAAACCGTGGCAGGAAGGCGTGAAGCCAAAATCTCCCACTAAGTCCCAGTGTGAGGGGCCTTAATAAAGGAGAGACTCTGCTCTATCGCCAGCTTTCTTCGGTGAAAAGTTGTGAAAATCACAAAAAAGTCTATGTAATACATGCATCCCCCCCAAGTTTACCATCAGCATTAATCAACTAGTAAAAACAACGGCATAATGAAAGTACACAGAAAATTGCAAATATAGTTACCGAAATGATGACATTCCCTTACAGATCCATAAACCGACCATAAAACTCTCTTTTGCAGGCAAATCTATTTTTGAGGAATTTGTAATTCCCTCTTATTTTCAAACTGGGAGCATGCAGAAATAAATAGTCCCATCGTTGGCACTAACTCATAAGACTGGAATCACTAAAGAGTGTGGTGAAATGATTAAGTGGGACAATGCAGACAATGAATCTTCCGTCTCACAATAACAATACAGTGCAATGCATGTGTTTAAATGTTAATGCTCTTTGAGGCTCTGCACAACTGCTTGACGATTTTTCCAACGTATGAGTTTGGTTCTGGAAATAGAAGCATTTTATTTAACTAGAGCATCGTCAGTTAAAACTCTGTTGATGTGATGCTAAAAAGGGGGATTGCACAAGAAAGTATTTTTGTAACATGTTAAAAAGCGATGCAAAGTGGGAAATTCAGCACTCAAAGCAATAAGCGCTGTCCCAATTACTAAGACACGTTTATATTCAACAACACCGTAGGGAGACTTTTCAGTGAATTTAAGAATATCGAATCTGAGGAACTTCCTAACAGACATACTGCTACTTCTCATATTTAAACAGATTCCATTTTCCCTTACCTTTCTCCACCGAAATAGCATGCACATACACACAGGCTCGCAAACACACATGCCTAGGCATTGATTCGGCTGCTTCAGGGGCAAGGGAGAGCACTCATCGAGAAGTTCGGACAATTGATCTCTGGAGGGCATGAGATACAGGGCCCGCTTTCTTCTCTCCTTTCTCAGTCGAGTCTTTCACTATCTCTCACACACACTCTTCATCTCTCGTCTACTGGCCATGTTTCCTCTGAATGTGCATTCTCTGGATTACAGCGAAGTCGAGGAGTAGCGAGGGAGATCATTGCTTTACTGAGTGTTTGGGTGAGATACTGTCGGTATAGCTTCTCAACTCACAGTTGAAACTCAAAGTTGAGATCGCAAACCCAGAAGTAAAAAAACCACAAAAACTAGCAAAGATTTTTATACTGTTTCACTCTGTTTCATCAAAATAAGGCTCTAGTTCTTCTGTCAAATGTTTCTTATACTATTGCTCAGAGGTGT